CATTCTGGTTTTACTGACATTATGCAGCCCCCTGGTTTCATTGACCTTATTGAAACTCTCTCGTTTTATTGATCTTATTGCAACTTCTTAGTTCTATTGGCCTTATTTCAGCTCACTGATTTTATTGACCTTATTCCAACCTCTGATTTTATTGATCTTATTGCAGCCCTGGTTTTATTGAGCTTATTGCAGCTCCCTGGTCTTAGTGACCTTATTTCAGCCCCATAGTTTTATTGACCTTATTGCAACCCCTTGTTTTATTGACATTATTGCCATCCCTGGATTTACTGATCTTATTTCAGCCCCCTGGCTTTATTGACCTTTTTGCAACCGCTATTTTTATTAACCTTTTTGCAAATCCTGGATTTATTAACCTTATTGCAACTCCTGGTTTTATTGACTTTATTGCAAATCCTGGTTTTATTGACCTTACTGCAACCCCTGGTTTTATTGACCTTATTGTAACCCCCTGGTTTTATTGACCTTACTGTAACTCCTGCTTTAATTTAACTTATTGCAACCGCTGGTTTTATATATATTATTTCAAAGTCTTATTGTATTGACCTTATTGTAATCCCCTGGTTTTATTGACCTTATTGTAACCCCCTGGTTTTATTGACCTTATTGTAATCCCCTGGTTTTATTGACCTTATTGTAACCCCCTGGTGTTATTGACCTTATTGTAATCCCCTGGTTTTATTGACCTTATTGTAATCCCCTGGTTTTATTGACCTTATTGTAACCCCCTGGTGTTATTGACCTTATTGTAATCCCCTGGTTTTATTGACCTTATTGTAGTCCCCTGGTTTTATTGACCTTATTGTAACCCCCTGGTGTTATTGACCTTATTATAATCCCCTGGTTTTATTGATCTGTTTTGGGACTTCTAGTTTGGTTCCTTCAGTGTGGGTCCTCTAGTTAGGGACCATTAGTTTGGGAACACTATTTTAGGACCACTAGTTAGGGACCACTAGTTATTGACCAATAGTTATTGACCAATAGTTATTGACCACTCCTTATTGACCACTAGTTTGGGACCACTAATTTGGAACCACTGTTTTAGGACCACTAGTTAGGAATCACTGGATAGGAACCACTAGTTAGGGAACACTAGTTAGGGACCAATAGTTTGAGACCACTAGTTTGAGACCACTAGTTGGGGACCACTACTTTGGGACCACTAGATTTGGACCACTAGTTTGAGACCATTAGCTTGAAACCACTAGTTTGGGACCATTAGCTTGAAACCACTAGTTTCGGACCACTAGTTTGAAACCACTAGTTTGAGACCACTAGCTTGAAACCACTAGTTTGAGACCACTAGCTTGAAACCACTAGT